TGTTGTGCCCAGCATCCGCACAGAACAACACACAAATCTCGCCGCTCTCGAGCTAGAGGTGCTGCAGGTACAAGTGACGCGGGGACGGGACACGGACAAGAGATTCGTTGTTTGTCGCGTCGTCGCGCGCGGCGTATCATGCGGCGATGCGCGACAAATTCTCGACGATTAGGAGCAGCTAATCTCGTTACACCAACCTATTTTCCACCTATTGGTCATTTGCTCACTTCAACAAATGGAGGCTTCGCAGCGTTCACCCCCCCCCCCCCTCCAATCGAACCCACCATCCGGAGCAAACATACTCAAATTTCTTGAATTTTGAACAAGTAAAGACTCGATGACATGGGAGATTGTTCCTTCACTAATTACATTCTAACAGCTAGGCAAGACAACTTGTCCGTCGAGCACGGCGTCGCTCACCACGCCGACTGGGCCTCACCTGGAACAAGCGGAACCCTGACTTATGTTTCTTCTAACTTCTAAAAGCCACTTGAAGGTCCAGATCGCATAGAAAATAACATTACCATTTTGAATGGAGAAAATGTGTGGCGCATCCTTGAAATCAAGATTGAGAGCTTTTCCAAGAGAAATCTGAGTATCCTGAAAGACAGAACTCTAGACCAACCCGCGAAAAGTTTGCAGGTGGCGGGTTGGAAACAGAACTGTATGTGCTAGCACTTAGCCGTGATGAAAAAAGGAGTGCAAGCCGTCAAAAATGCTCTATATAAGGCCCTACTTGTGCTAAGCGAGTGATAAAGAAACATCTAGATATCAAATGTGAGACTTCTGACGTGAGTTTTATACAGGATTGTTTGTTGCAGTCCACTCTACCCCCCCCCCCTACGAAAAGCTTGGATAATTATAAGTGATTGTAGGCTGTGCCTTTAATAACCTAGGATCTAATATGACATTATGTATGTGAATTTAGTTCCAGACACAAGAGCGAGTTTATACGTAAAGGAGGCAGCCGTGACTGGAAAAATTACTTTACACGGGAACAAAGCGATCGTATGGATGCCCTTTTCAGAACTCGTCTTGCAGGAACTGTAGCTGAAAAGTAAGTTGCTTTTAATCTCCACAAGTGATTGGGAGTCATTTGGAAAGTTTAGATGGTGGCAAGAAGAAATGGCATGGGATCAGTTGCCAATCCTAGCATTTGACCATCTCGAGCTCGAAGATGAGCTTGAATCCGTATCGAGACGAGGATCGTTCAGCTTGCAAGTCGGCTCTGTCGGCTCCATCAAGGTAAGTTATAAAGGCTGCTTATACCACCCTCACGCAGAAGCCTTCCTCTTTCATTGGAAGCATCCGAACTTGCTCGAAAGCCCGAAGTTCCTGAACTTTTGTCAAAATTAAA